CTGCTTTGGCTGCATCCCATAAATTTTGGTATATTGTCTTATTGTTGTCATATTTTTAAATGAAATTATCATTTGTTTCTGTGATTTGTTCTTTGACCCACCTGTTTTTTAGGATTAGATTACTTAATTTCTATTAATTTTTAATCTCTCTTTATAATAATCTCCATTACTGAATGTAATTTTTATTGCATTATGATCTGAAAAGGTTATGTTTACTATTTCTACTTTTCTGCATTTGGTTGTGAGGTTTTTATGTCTTAATACATGGTCAGTTTTATGTAGGTGCCATGTACTGCTGAGAAAAAGGCATATTTCTTTCTAGTCCCATTCAATTTTCTCCAGAGATCTATCATATCTTAACTTTTCCAGAATTTTATTCACCTCCTTAATTTTTTCCTTGTTTATATTTTTGGTTAGATTTATCTAGTTCTGAGAGGCGGAAGTTGAGGTTCCCCAATAGCATAGTTTTATCTATTTCCTCTTCTAACTCATTCAACTTCCTTTTCAAAAATTTAGGTGCTATACCATTTGGTGCATATATGTTTGGTATGACTTTATTGTGTATGGTACCTTTCAGCAAGATATAGTTTCCTTCTTTATCTCTTTAAATTAGATCTATTTTTGCTTTGTCTGAGATAATAATTGCTACCCCTGCTTTCTTTGCTTCAGTTGAAGCATAATAGATTCTGCTTCAGGTATCTGTCTGCTTCAAATGTGTTTCTTGTCAACAACATATTGTAGGATTCTGGTTTTTAATCCATTCTGCTATCCACTTCCATTTTATGGGTGAGTTCACCCCCTTCACATTTATAGTTAGGATAACTGTATTTCACTCCCTGTTATTTTTCACTTGTTTATCCCCCCCCTTCTCTCCTTACAAGTGTTTTACTTCTGATCACTGCCTCCCCCAATATACCCTCACTTTTATCAGTCCTCCTCCCCCTTCTATTATCCCTGTCCCTTTTTACTTCCTTACAGGGTAAGATAGATTTCTATATCTAATTGAGTGTGTAGGTCATTCCCTCTTTCAGCCAATTTTGAGAGTAAGTTTTAAGCTTTGTCTGCCATCCCCTGCCCCTGTTCTCCCCTCCACTATAATAGCTCTTTCATGCCTTTTTTATGTGAGATATTTTGCTCTGTTCAATCTCCTCCACTCCTTCTTCTTCCAGTGCAATTTTCTTTCTCCTTTATTTTGTTTTTTTTGGGGGGGTATTATCCCATCAAAAATCACCTTATATCCACACCCTCTGTTTACATAGACTCTTTCTAATTGCTCTTATAGTAATAAAGTTAAGAGTTACAAATATTATTTTGCCCTATATAAAAATAGACTGTTTAACCTCATTGAACCTTTTTCTTGTTTCTTTTTTTTAACCTTTTTATGTTTCCCTTGAGTCTCATTTGGAAGTCAATTTTTATTCAACTCTTGTCTTTTAATTAGAAATGCTTGAAAGTCCTCTATTTTGTTAAATGTCAATAGTTTTTCCCCCTGAAAGATTATATTCAGTTTTGCTGGGTAGATGATTCTTGGTTGTAATTCTAACTCCTTTGCTTTCCAAGGCAAATCAGATTCTAAGCCCTCTGGTTCTTTAATGTGGAAGCTGCCAAATCCTGTGTAATCCTGACTATAGCTCTACAGTATTTGAATCGTTTCTTTTTGGCTGCTTGCAATACTTTCTCTTTGATCTGTGGGCTCTGAAATTTGGCTATGATGTTCCTGGTAGTTTTTATTTTGAGATCTCTTTCAGGCAGTGATCAGTGGATTCTTTCAATTCTATTTTGTCCTCTGGTTCTAATATATCAGGGCACTTTTCTTTGATAATTTCTTTTATGATTTTTTTTTTTAGGCAATTGGGGTTAAGTGACTTGCCCAGGGTCACACAGCTAGTAAGTGTCAAGTGTTTGGTCTAAGGCCGGATTTGAACTCAGGTACTCCTGACTTCAGGGCTGGTGCTTTATCCACTGCGCCACCTAGTTTCCCCTGATAATTTATTAAAAGATGTTTTTCAGGCCTTTTTTTTTTTTCATCATGGCTTTCAGGTAGTCCAATAATTCTTATATTAGTTCTCCCGGATCTATTTCCTAGGTCAGTTGTTTTTCCAATAAGAAATTCCATATTTTCTTCTATTTTTTTTTTTACTTTTTAAAAATTTTATTTTATCATATCTTGATGTCTCATAGAGTCATTAGTTTCCACTTGTTCAATCCTAGTTTTTAAGAAATTATTTTCTTTAGTGAGCTTTTGTTCTTCCTTTTCCATTTGCCAATTCTATTTTTTAGAGAGTTATTTTCCTCAGTAAATTTTTATGTATTTTTCCCCATGATTCTCTTGCATCACTCTCATTTCTTTTCCCAATCTTTCTCCTACTTTTCTAATTTGCTTTTTAAAATTCTTTTTAAGTTCTTCCAGGAATTCTTTTTGTGCCCGAGACCAAATTACATCTTTTCTTTGAGGCTTTACATGTGGCCATTTTGACACTATTGTCCTTTTCTAAGTTTATGCCTTGATCCTCCTATCACCATAGCAACTTTCTATGATCAACCTTTTTTTTTTTCTTATTTTTTTTGCCTTTTTTGTGATTTGGGGTTTTTATGTGAGAGTTGGACTCTGGTTCTACACCTTCCCAGGGTTTTTGTTCTGGGGCTCTGGGTCATACTGCCAGCTTCTTACTGGGCTTCAAGGCTTAGCTGGTTGCTTTTGCTAGAGGGGTAGACTTCCCTTCTGGCTTGTACTGGGGAGTGGGGCCTCTTTATTGGCATTCCCCGAATGTGGGTTTAGCTGCTGGCCTGCTCCAAGAATGGGGCTTTGCTGCTGGTTTGCTATGGTAACTGAGTCTTTCTGCTGGCTGGCCCTGAAGGAAGGATTTTGTTGCTGGTCTGCTCCAGGTGTGGGGGCCTGCAAGCGGTTGCTATGGAAACAGGGTCTCTCTTCTGGTAGGCCTCAGGGGCAGGGTCTGGCTGTTGTCCAGCCCCAGGGCAGGGCTTCAGTACTCTTTAGCAATGGGGGTCAGAGCCTCCCTGGGGGTTTGTGCTGGGGGTGGAGTTGCTGGGGTAGGGCCTTGGTGTGCTGGGAATAGTAGTCAATTGTCTAGGGGGCTGGTGGCTTGCAGGTGGGTGGAATGGATTGCCTTAGGCTTGGAGCCTTGCTGCAGGTCCCCTGCTGTGAGGCTGGCTACTAATGCTGCTGCTGCTGCTGCTCTTGGACCTCGCTCCCCTCCCACCCCAGTGAGACAGACCTTTTCTGCTGGGCTGGTAAGCTGCTTCTCTGCTCCTAGACTAATTCTGAGGTGGTTTTCTAGTTGTCTGGAGGCGAATTTGGGAGGGCTTCAGAGGGTTCCTTTCTCACTCCACCATCTTGGCACCCAATTCTCCAGCTTTTAAAGCACTTCATAACTTGACCCCTTCCTACTTTTCTAGTCTTTCCCCTTAATCCCTTCCATGTCCTCTGAAATCTGGTGACATCGGCCTTCTTGCTATTCCTCACACACAGTTCTCTGATTCCCAATTGGATATTTTCACTGGCTGTCCCCATGGCTGGAATTCTTTCTCTCCTCAATTCCATCTCTTTTGTTTTCTGTCTTCCTTCAAGTCCCAGCTAAAATCTGGCCTTGTAAAAGGAGTCTTTCCTTATCTTCCTTAATGCTGTTTTATCATAAATCAGATAAATTTGAAGGGACCTTAGCCTAGTCTGACCTTGTAATTTTATTGATAAGAAAAACTGAGGCTCAAATGAGTTAATATATGTAAAGCACTCTGTAAACCTTAAAGCCCTATTTAAATACTAATTATTATCAGCATCATCATCATTATTATTAAGCAAATTGCCCCAGGCAATACACATAATAACTGACTCTTCCTTGGACATTTCTTGCTTGGAGAGGATCTTAGCTAAATGAGACTGAGCAAGAATTAATGCTCATAGATTCTGTTCTTTCCTCTCCATTCATTGAAAGATCTGGGGAGTTAGACTGAAACCATGGTTTGATTTGCTGAAGAATCTTCAGTTTTTCTTTGGGTGATTCAGCTGAACCAATCAACAAGCATTTATTTTATGCTAAATGCTTGGGATATAAATCTAAAAAATGAGAGAGCTTATTAGGACCTCTCAAGTTTTATCTAGAGTCTCCTGGCTTCTTATTCTTCCTCCTGCTCAGACTATTCGCTGCTGCCCAGATGTGTTTTTCTTGGTAAGGCCAAGATGCGCTTCTGCCACAACCACGTCTCACCTGAATATGTTCCCTCTGCTGCTTATTGCTTGGGGGCAGAGACCCAAAGATGAGTAAATGAGCTCCCATTGTCTAAGGAGAACTTTGACACCACTGAGGGGGCTGGTGAGACGTTCATCTGCATATAACTGCTGTGGTAGTGATTTGTCCTTTGTTCCTGGAGAGGACCATGACATCAGGGAAGTGATGCCATGACTTGCAATTGAATTGGATTTAAGTGAGGAAGGGCTATGCAAAGTCACCAGCCTTACTTTCTCCTCAGGAGCCATGGGGTCCAGTGGCCAGATATTGATCAGGACGACTGGAGATGGCCCAGGATGCAGTGGGAGACGTTGGCCTTTTTAAGCTAAGGTTTTAAGCTTGAGTTTTCACTTTGACTGAGGCAACGCCCATTCAGTGATTAGGCCTGTTTACAGTTGTGTAAACTGCTGACTGAGCCCTGAAGATGACAGGAAAGCAGTTCCAGGCACTCCTTCACAAAGCACTGTACTATTTGTTATTTGCTCATAGAGTGTTCCCGTGACTTCCTGACTTGAAGGCCAGTGTATTTGAATTTCTGTTGAATTTTTGTATAACGAATGACCAAATCACTGCTTCCTTCTGGATCTCAGTTTCTCTACATGTCAAAATAAGGCATGATGCTAAATAATTCTCATTAATAATTCGAGTTTTCCATTTGAATGTGACTATGTGTGTAACTCTGCATACTCGTCTCACCATATTGCTCTGGCGGCCTCATGCTAATGCCGGTCTTGTTTAACTGTCTTACAGACTGACATCTGTGACCATGAAGCCTTGTGTCTCCTCCTTGCTGCTGGCCTGGATCAGTATCCTGCACTGCACATGGGCTGAATTCTTCACCTCAATTGGTATACTCTAGTCTGAGCAATCTCGAATGTTAACTTCAGGACCGGCCCTCTCCTTTTAGGTCCAGCCAGAGTCCTGGCTCTTTGTTGGATTGGGATGGGAGGACTGACGAGTTTCTATCACATTTACTCTTGGATAGGACCATCAGAGGGTGGGGCTTTGAAGACTGGATGACATTCCATGTATCACTAAAGGGTCTAGGGGTGGGCTGAGCTTGCAGCAGAGGCCTGAGTCAGAAGGTCTCTTTAGATAGCTACATTATTAGCAAAATCAAATAGAAACAGGCTGCTAAGCCATATGTAAGAATCCTCATGGGCTACATATTGACTTAGAAAGCCACAAATTACCATTATCTATGTTTTGTTGTATTTTTATCTTATTAAATATTTTTCAATTATATTTTAATCTAGTTCAGGCTCCACTTGTGGGCCTACAATGCCCAGTGGGCACTGTATTTGATACTTCTTTTCTACAACTCTGGCATCCCTGTTTAAGTTGGCTCTTTGCTGGTCCACTCAGACATACCTTCAGTTACTTAGGTGCCTAAGGTCAGAGCTAGAGTTGGCTCTAAAGTTATTTATTTTTTAATTCTCACCCCTCAGGACAGATGACAGACTTGATTTATGCAGAGAAAGACCTAGTTCAGTCTCTGAAAGAATATATCAGAGCAGAAGAAGCCAGACTCTTCAAGATTAAAAGGTACATTTCTTCATTAAACATTTATTAAACACTTACTGTCTGCTGGCTGGGTTCTTGGGAACATAGGATGAATGAGACTCAGTTCTTGCATTAGGGGGTTTACACTTTGGTGAAGTGGTGGTGCCACTGAGCTGGCTAGTGAGACATTTATCTGCAAGTAGATTCTGATTCATCTGCTAGAGCCCTGGCCATGAATGAACAAAGGCGTAAATAACTTATTGCAAATAGAAATCAGGAGCATAAGATATCGATGAGAAACTTTGAGTTCCAGGGAAGGAGATATATTTCCTGACTGGGACATGATGGAAAACTTCACATAAGAGGTGTGAGTTAGGGTCAAGCATAGGAAATGATGAAAGTTAAAGGTATGGAAACAGAAAAACATAAAACAGGTTTGGGGGGTTCGGAGGGGCAGCTGGGACGGGGGAGCAGTTAAGCTGGACTGAGACAAAAAATTATTATTACCATAAACTCAAAGGCCAAATGTGGTAACTCTCCAAGCGACACCCCCCGCCCCATTCAAACTATTTGTATCTCAGTTAGATGGGAGAGAAAGGAAAAAATATTATTGCCAAAGTAAAATCAAATGTATTAGTAAACATATCACATAGGGAGAATGTGGGAAGAGTGGTGAATTTAGAGTCAGAATAAAGTGGCAGAGCCATTATTTGAACTTTGATACTATCCTTGTGACCTTTGGCAAGCCCCTTAAGCCCTTTGGGTCTCAGATTCTTCATCTATAAAGTAAGGTGTTTTGACTAGATGATCTTATCCAATGTGAAATCTATGATAGACGAACATACTGTGTTCCCACCTGGTATCTGTATGCGTGTTTGTGTCTGTGTGTGTGTGTGTATGGGGTACATGGTATACACATCATACACACACACATGTATACAGTATTAATATATATAAATATATATTGTATATGTATACACACACAGATATATGTGTTTATATATGTGTGTACATACATATATGTGTATATATAGGGGGTATGTGTGCAAATGTGTATACACATACACCCATGTTATCTTCCTCTCGGCAACTTCTTCATCTTTTGCTCTTTGGGGCAAGTTTTCTCCTGAGTGGGTAAACAAATCCCTTTGAATCTGGTGGAAATGAGTAGGATTGGGAAGACAGTAATACACACTCACACACACACACACACACACACACACACACGTATATTACTGTCTTCCCAATCCTGTTTGTGTGTGTGTGTGTGTGTGTGTGTGTGTGTATTCATAGTTTATGGGTATTCTGGGTCTGCTGATCTGTCATTTTCTTTGTATTCCCCTCAGCCCTACCCTTCTTTGTAAACTTTTTGTGGCACAATTGCATTCATATGCCTCAGTTTATTTTCAGTCATTCCTGGAAGACTTTCTAGGCCCTCTGAAGTCTGTTTCCCACCCTGTGCCTGATTCCTTCCCCCTTTGCCTGTGCTATACCCCTAGCTTGGAATGTGTTTCCTACTCCTTTTCAGTTGTCAGGATCTTACTTTTTCTTGAAGAGTCAACTTCAAGCTTTATCTTATTCATGAAACCTTTCCCAGCTTCTACAGTATACAGGGCTCTTAAGCTTGTTATACCTAGGATGCAAAAGAAACAAACAACAACACAAAAAAACCCAAAAAACCCCCCAAAAAACCAAACCAACCAACCCAAAAATGGGCCCTGAAGAGTCAGCTGTGACTGAACCATGACTGAACAATGACGTACCTAACCTGACATTTAACAGACACATATGCACACACACAGAATCTGCCTCTCTGTGATTTCAGCCCTTTGTTCTTTGGGGCAAATTTTCTCCTTCCATATCATAACCTTTCAGATGTCTGAAGATGGCTACCCTGTCTTCTATCAGTTATCTATTTTATAAATTAAACGTCCCCACTTACTTCAGATGTTTGAATCCTCTTTCCATCTTTCGTCACTTCCTCTGGACATTTTCCATCATCGATGTTTCTCTTAAAACTTGATGCCTGGACGTGGACACGATATTCCAGGTTGTCAGTCTGACTTTTCAGTGCCTGAGTGGGTAATCAGTCCATCTAATATGGTGAAAATGGACAGGATTGGAAAGACAGTCTGTTTGAATTTAAGGGGAAAAATTATCTTTCCTGTGTCTCCCTCTCCATCTAGCTGGGCTGAAAAAATGGATATTTTGACAAGCAAGTCAACCTCTGATCCTGAGGGCTACCTGTCTCACCCAGTAAATGCCTACAAGCTGGTGAAGCGCCTAAATACAGATTGGCCAGCTCTGGAGAGCATGGTCTTACAGGATAGCTTACAGGAGCTGAGTGGCAGAGAAGTGTGTGTGTGTGTGTGTGTGTGTGTGTGACAGAGATACAAATAGATTGTATTGTACATCTAGTATGATGCCGTGTATTTGTTTATTCAACAAACGTTTGTTACACACCTACTCTGCAGTCTTGGGACTGGCAGTGAAGGGAATATAGAAAAAAGTAAGATGTTGTTCCTGACCTCAGGAAGTTCATAGTCTAATAGAGTTTGGAACATTGACAAGGGCCTTGTTGGTCAGAGGAGCCCCAGGATTAGGTAAAGTGAAAGGACATTCAAGACCACGGCAAAGAGATGTGGTGGAACAGGTCACTTGTCTCTCTCATTAATATTTAAACATAGTATGTAACATAGAATCCTAACTCCTTGTGTGTCTCTAGTGATTTTGTTTTTAGAATGTTTTCTGTGCTCTCATGGTATTCTCACAATACTCTATGAAGAAGGTAAGAGAGGAGTTACTGTCTGCCTTTAACAAAGAAATTAAATGACTTATTTCAGTCTAGATGCACAGATCATGGAACTTTGCTCCCCCACTTCTAGCCATGCGCTCTTCTCACTAGATTCTGCTATTTTTTTAAATTTGGGTTTGCAGGGCATATACAATTTTAAAATTTGGCCAATTTTATGTATTTTAAAAATTCTTGATGCATGTTTTTTGTAACACAGATATTTCTTCAAATGCCCCCCAGAATCAAACTATGTCTTGTAACAAACAGTTAAGCAAAAACAACCAAATACAGCGTGTCTGACAATGTGTGTAGCAGTCTGCTCTTACCGTCTCTCTGTTGCCGATTTTCAAGTTTACCTGTTTTGTTTAACCTCTCTGCTGACCTTCAGTCTTGCATCTCCAACTGCCTTTCAGATGCCTTGAGCTGAATGTCTAGTAACCATCTTAAACTCAATATGTCCCAAATTGAAAAGAATCTCTTTCCCCTTAACCCCCACATCCCTCTTTGTCTCTCTTTTTACTATAGAAGGCAACACCATCCTTCTAGGTTCACAACCTAGGTATCATCCTTAGCTTCTCACTGTCTTCCACCCCGCATATTGAATCTGTTGCAAGACCTGTCAATTTCACCTTTGCAATATCTCTCATATATACCATCTTCTCTCCATTGTCACTACCCCCCCCCCCAGTGCAGGCCCTCATCACCTCACACCTGGAGTATTGCAAGGGCCTTCTGGTGGGTCAGCCTGTCCTCAGGTGTCTCCCCACTCCAGTCTATCTTCCATTCAGCTGTTAAAGTGACAAAGTGGTCAACCCTTATTTAGTAAACTACAGTGGCTTCTCATCACCTTCAGGATGAAATACAAAATCCTTTGGCATTCAAAACCCTTTATAACCTATCCTCTTTCTACTTATCCAGTCTTATTACTCTTTTTTTTTTTTGCTTTTTGGTGAGGCAATCCGGGTTAAGTGACTTGCCCAGGGTCACACAGCTAGTAAGTGTCATGTGTCTGAGACTGGATTTGAACTCACATCCTCCTGACTCCAAGGCCGGAGCCCTATCCACTACACCACCTAGCTGCCCACCATTCTTATTGCTCTTTACTCCCCTCTTTGTACTCCTTGATCCAGTGACACTGGCCTCCTGGCTGTTGTACAAACAAAACACTCCATCTCTCAGCTTCAGGCTTTTCTCTGCCTGTCCCCATGCCTGGAATGCTCTGCCTCCTGATCTCCCTCAGCTTCCTTTAAGTCCCAATTAAAATCTCATCTTTTACAGGACGCCTTTCCTGTTGTTAATTATTTCCTATTTATCCTATATATATATATATTTTTTTTGTACATATTTGTTGGCTTGTTGTTTCCATTGTTGGAACGTGAGCTCCTTGAGGACAGGGATTATCTTTTGGCTTTTTTTGTACCCTGGTGCTTAGCAATATTTCTGGCATATAGAAGTTACTTAATAAATGTTTATTGACTGGCTGTAGTCCCCAGTCTCTATAGAGTGAGATAAGTTTCGTTACTAGTTCTCTGGTATCATCATTAGTTTTTCAGTTACTCAGACCTCATCTTCCTTTTAGTGTTCTTTTAATTTATGTTTGCAGTCATTATATTCGTGGTTCTTCTGTTTTTACTTATTTCATGCTTTGTCAGTTCATACAAAAATTCCTGTGTTTCTCTGAATTCCTTATGTTTGTCATTTCTTACTCAATAATACTATTCAGTTATATTTATGTGTCACAGTTCAGCCATGCCCTGATTGATGGGGACCTACATTGTTTCAAATTCTTTGCTACCACAAAAAGTACTACTATGATTTCATATATTTTGTTTTTCATTTGTTTTAGTTGTGTCTGACTCTTCGTGACCCCATTTGAAGTTTTCTTGGCAAGCCTATTGGGATGGTTTGCTGTTTTCTTCTCTAGGTCATTTTACAGATGAGGTAACTGAGGCAAACAGGGTTAATTGACTTGCCCAGGGTCACATAGCTAGCAAATGTCTGGGCTAGATTTGAACTCAGGAAGATGAGTCTTCCTGACTCCGGGCCTGGCAGTCTATCCACTATGCCACCTAGCTGCCCTGTGATTTTATAGATATACAAACATGTACACACACACACACACACACACACACAGATACAATTTTTTTTTCAAAATCTGAATCTGTAATTTCACTGGGGCTTTTGCTGAGGAAACGACTTCTAACACTGCAGATCAGCAACTATTCCTCAATCTCTGGTCTTAAAGAGCTGCCTGAAGCACTAAGAGATTGAATGACTTACTCAGGGTGATACAGCCAGTAAGCTTCAGAGGCAGGATTTGAACCCAGGTCTTTCTGACCACTATACCATGCTCTCCCTTGCTGCAGTGATTAAGAATAGAGGAAACCAAGCAGTGTTTTTCATGCTGTCTAGACAGTTTGGGTTAGGACAGCAAGCCTGTTCCCCCCTGCTTTCCTGGCCAGTCACTTGAGGACCCTGGGGTGAGGGCCAGCATTCTGAGGCAAAGAAGACAGCTTTAGTGTAAAGCAAAAAAGCCCTGGACAGAGAGGCAGGAGGTGTGACTTCTAGTTCTTGGTTTCTTCATCTTTAAAATGAAGGACTCGGTTCAGATGATTGCCGAGGCCCTTCCTGGTTCTAATAGCATGTGTGAATTTTTCCCTCTCCTCCAGCCAGTAGCACAGAGTAAGAAGATTTCCTGAGAAATTCCATGGCTAGAGCCAGTTCAAACTGAGAGGTGGGGGGAAGGGGAGGGTTGCATGTTCCTAGCCACCATCTGTGCGACTGGTGAGCTCATCCCTGTTTGGGGATCATGCCACTGGGGAGGTCCCGGACAGCCCAGAGCTTCGGCTAGCCTTTTTTCTAGGCCTTTCTAGAGCCTCACATGCTGCCCCTTCCTGAGATTTCTGACTATGAGCTAGTTAGGAGGAGGACAAGAGACAAAGCTGAATCCCAAACTCCTCTGGGGGGGAGCTTGTTCTTATCTGCTCTTTTGCTTGGGTTGATTCTTAGTGAGGGCTGGTGGTGAACTTTCAACCTCACATATGTTTGAGTGTGTGTGTGTGTGTGTGTGTGTGTGTGTGTGTGTGTATGTGTGTGTGTGTGTGAGAGAGAGAGAGAGAGGGAGAGAGAGAGAGAGAGAGAGAGAGAGAGAGAGAGAGAGAGAGAGAGAGAGAGAGAGAGAGAGAAGCCTTTACTGTCTTAAGATAAAACCATGAATAGTAGCAGAGAATGTCTGAGATAAGAAGGGAACTTTGGTATTGTCCAATCCAGCTTTTCATTTGATAGCAGAAAAAACTGAGGACTGGTTTACATGAGAATAATACCACTAACTCAGTTATATTTAATTTTTTTAAAAAAAGCTTTTTAAAACAAAGAATAAAAAAGAAAACCAAAGCACAACTGAACCTGTGTGCTATACTCCATCCCTATATCCCCTGCCTCTGCAAAGATGGTGGAGAGAGCCATTTTCTCATCTCTTCCCTGGAGCCAAGTTTGGTCCTTATAATTAACAATGTGTAGTTCATTTGTTTGTGTGTTTTTTTCTTTACATTTTTACTTTTTTAAACCAGTGTAATATGGGAAAGAGTGCTGGAATGGGAGTCATGAAAAGTGAGGTCAAGTCCTAACTGCCTCAAACTATAAAATAAAAGGAGTTAGTCTAGAGAATAACAACTATGATAATAATAATTAAAGGTAACATTTATATAGTGTTTTATTTGCAATGCACTTGACAGTGATGATCCCAAAGATTCCTTTCCCCACTGCCATTTTGTATTTCTAGGAAAGCGTGCTTTCAGAGACTTCTCCTCCTTTGGGCTGCCAGAACCACCACTGCTCAGAAGGCAACAGAAGGAAATTAGATCTCTCTTTGCCTCTGAAAGCCCTACACAGTGTGGTCCTGAATCTCTTTTCTACACAATATGGCATCCCCTTGGAGCATCCTCATTGCCGCAGGTGTTCACTCAGGATTTAGGTGCACTGGCAGAGCATGGAGAAGATAGGGGCCCTTTCTGAAGCCCACAGTGTTCTTTCAAGGCTGCTTTGGCTTGTCAAATAGCCCAGGGACCTCCTTCAGGCAGGTTAAGCCCAGTTGCCTCTTGGGAGGTTGAGGCCTGAAGAGACTGCACGTTTTTGGCTGCCACATTAGGGGACCTTTCTCTACACACCTTCAGTCTTCCAGTCCATTAACCTTACTTCTAACCCCTTTTGTGGTTTCTCTTGCCTTCTTATTCCATCTTGGTTGAATAGTTGACCCCATGGTCAACTTCGAGCTGCTTCAGGGTCATGACCACTGTAATATTCTTTGCCCCCTTCACCCTCTTGCTCTGCCAGTCCCAGACTTTGAGCACTGCACACCGTCTGCTCTCTTTTGTGCCATTAACCTCAAAACTACACTGATTTTGTCCATGATACAAATGCAGCTGACACTGATTAAAAACCTACTCTATGCAGAGCATTGTCCTACAGCATAACAACACCTGTGCCCTAGTTGCCAATTTACCAGCCCCTCTCATTGCATTCATTACAGAACCTACTAGAGTCTTTTTCCTCTTTCTTTGTTATCTCAACTAACTCCATTTTCCCATTCTTAATGGCTTTGTATCCCACTGTACTGAAAAGATCAAGGCCGTACAATGAGAACGTCTTCTCATCTCAAAATCTGGCTTCAGTCAGTCAACAGGCATTTGTCTTCCTAACACCTAGACCAGGAGTGGGGAACCTGTGGCCTTGAGGCCACATGTGGCCCTCTAGATCCTCAGGTGTGGCCCTTAGACTGAATGTCAGATTCCTCACCCCTGAACCCATGTCTAGCTCATGGTTACCCTTGTAAAGAAAGAAATGAAACAGCCCCTACCCTCAGAGGGAGCTAACCTTCTATTGGGAGAGATGTGTGTGTGTGTGTGTGTGAGTTATATTCATCCTCCGTTCCGTCTCTGAGGAATAGGTGACTTTTGTTTGGAGTAAGATTGAAAACCCTTCCACCTACTGGGATATCCCTCCACCAATCATTCTTTTCTTCTTTTAATTCAATTCAATTTAATTTAATTTCATCTCTCTTTCTCCTCACATGACAAACATGCTCAGTTCTCCACTGTCCAGAAAACAAGGAAAACCCTTCCATCTAATTGTCCCTTCAAACTCCAATCCCATTCCTCTCTTCCCTTTTACTGAAAAGCTGCTTGAATTTAATTTAATAACAATCTGTTAAGTGCCTACTATATGCCAGGTGCTGGAAATACAAATATTAAACAGTCCTGCATTCAAGAAGCTTACATTCTGTTATGGGGGTAGGGGTGGAGTCTGAGTACACAGGTGAGTCACACAAAATAGATACAGAATACTAAATAATTTTGGGGAGGTGGAGTATTAGAGGACTGGCCTCATAAAGAAGCTGGCTTTTGAGCTGAGCCTTCAAGCTAGGAATTCCAAGAGGTGGAAGTGAAAGTGGAACATTCCAGGCAAAGGGGGGAGGGGCAGACTGTGAAGTGGAGTCAGGAGATGGAGTGTTATGTATGGAGAACATCGAGTGCCACCATTCTGGCTAGATCATAGAGCACGTGATGGGGCGTAATAAGGAAGTAAATCTGGACAAGTGGGTTGCAACCAGATTGTGAAGGAGAAAGTGATTTAGATGCCAAGTTGACCAGGATGGAAACTCAACTTGTGATTTCACTTCCTTTCCATAGTTGCTATTTTCTGGGCTTGGTTTTTCTACTTGGTCTATCATCAGTTCTTTATTTCATGTCTAAGTCTCTTGTTAGTTATTTCTCTTGTTTTCCTTTCAGGTTGTCTATTAAATTTTTTCGCCACTATTTTCTCCTGATCTTTATTTATTTTTCATTATATTTGAATTTATTTTAAACTTAAATACAAAATAAGAGAAAGAAAACATTGCCATATACACAGCAGAACATAAGAGAAGATTCAATATAAAGCAATAAATTTCCGCTTCAAGAAAACCTGTGTAAGAAATCTACATATTATTTTCAAAGCTGTCCATCTTTTTTTCTTTGTATGTTTTTTTTTTTGTCCTGTGCTGTGTACTTTTTACTTTATTTTTCCCCTTTCTCCACAAAGGTATTACATAAATAGACTAGTTAAATAAAATTGTCATTTAAAAATTATATTATCTTAATATATAATAATATATATGCATAATAAATGCATAATAATGTTACTTCATTTATTTAGATCTAACTTTGTTTGTATAAAAGGTGTTTTGTGTTTATATTCATATAATTCCTGTGTCTGTTTTGGCTGATATCCTGATATATTTTTAAAGCATCTTTTAGTTCTAGAGCTAGTACTTCCTGGATTTAAAAATTTCTACACATTGCTTTCTTTGCTCTTGTGACTTTTTGAAGTGTTAAAAATTGCTTAAATTCTTCATAGGTCATCTATCAATTTGAGAATATCACTGGGGATATCTTCTATTATTTTCTCATCTATACTTTCGGTACTTGTTCACTGTTTCAGCTACTTGCTCTGTATGGTGTTTTTTTTTATTGTATCAGCATTCTGTTTATTGCTTTTTATTTTGGTAGGTTTTTAATATCTTGTATGGACTTGTTAGTTAATTTCCTTTCTTTGGTGTAGTATTTTTTTTAAGATCATGTGAATGGCTTGGCTTCCTTAGCACCGATCACAAATTGTGCCATCTTGCAAGGGAAGCCTCTTCCTTCTACTCTTCTCTTCATTGTCTCTTATTTCTTCTACCTTCTTAATCATGTTATTCCTCAAACCTCAAGATCCTTAGCCTTCTTCTTTCCCCTCCTTACACTCTTTTATTTGTTGATCTCATCCCATCATACAGTTTTACTTGTCACTTCTGTGTGAATGACTAACAAATCTATATATCTAGCTCTGATAAAGCAGTATATACTAAGGAATAAATGAGCTAGAAGGTCAATAAGTGTTTTAGAATTTCATTGGAGGGGGAGAGCACTGTGGGTTAATCAAAAAAGGCTTCCCAAAGGAGGTAGAAATTGATCTGGAGGGGGAGGCTTTATATATACGAGGGTCGACATCTTTGATCGCCTCAGACGTCTTCTGTAAATATGCAACTGTTATTTGCTGATTTATTATCTTTCTCTCTTTTCCCCTCCCTGTATGGGAAGGTTTTATTGCCAATCTCACCATGCAGCGCCAGTTCTTCCCCACGGAAGAGGACGAGACCGGAGCAGCCAAGGCACTAATGCGCCTTCAGGACACGTACAAACTGGATCCTGACACTATTTCCAGGGGAGACCTGCCAGGTGATAGTTCTGAATTTCCTGTGCTCAGCATTTCTTTGAAAAGTAGCTTTTCAGGGGCCTTCTTGCTCTTGGTTCTTTGCTCTTTCTCCTGTACCAGTGAGGGTCCGTTAACTGGTAGAGCTGCAGGGTCTTTCTGCAGTGCCTAGAAGCAGCTAGGCTCTTTTGTCTTGGAGCCACTCTTGGTACGTTGACTCCTGGGCATTGGGAATAATACCTTCTCTCTGTGGTCAGGTGCTCATTGCTCTTCTTGCCCTCCAGGAACCAAGTATCGCTCCACGCTGAGTGCAGATGACAGCTTCGGCATGGGTAAGACAGCCTACAACGATGGGGACTACTACCACACGGTTCTGTGGATGCAGCAGGCGCTGAAGCAGCATGACGATGGTGAGGATGCCACCACGTCCAAAGCTGAAATCTTGGACTACCTCAGCTATGCCGTCTTTCAGCTTGGGGACCTTCACAGGGCAGTGGAACTCACCCGTCGCCTGATTTCTCTCGGTAATTTGCTGTGGTGTGTTCTCAGGGGTTGGGGAGAAGCTTCCTGTAGAATAATGTGGAGACTGGACAGAGCATGGGGTCAGATGGGACGTTGCTGTGTATTTTGGACTGACTCCGCAACGCTAGCAAAAGATAGTTTCTTAAACCAGTGACATTTTGACTCTATACCTAATCTGTATGTTGACCTCAGACCCTGGCTACAGCCTGATGTCCTAAACCCCAACACAGTCTGACCCTTTAATCCTGGTCCAAGACTGAATCCAAACTCCAGCCATAACTGTTATTCAGTTGTCTACCTTGTAGCCAGAAAAAATTCCTGATAGGCAGCATCCTTGTTAATGGAGGCATACTGGGAAGAATGGCAGGGCCCTCTTTTCATGAAGCAATTGCGATTTAAACAAGAATTTATTAGATGTCTGCTTTGAGCCCAGGCACTGAGGGTACAGGAGCTCACATCATATTGGCATGAAATGGAGGCCACTGAGTAGTTGTTATGTTCATCCTTTGTTCTTAAAGAGGACTGATGACATCAGGAAGGTGTTGGATTTAAATGAGGCAGGGCTCTGCAAAATCATCAGCCTCACTTTCTCCTTCAGAGTCACCGGAGTCCAGTGGCAAGACATAGGTCAGGATGACTGGAGATGGCCCTGGATGCAGTGGGGGGGCCTTGGCCTTTTTCAATCACTGAGCAAACCTGGGAGGGACAGCAAGAGAGGTGATGCTATTTCATAGGGACACTTCCAAAGGGAATCTGGCTAAATCTCTAAGTCTCTCCCTTTGTTCCTTTCACCCCCTTTGTCCTGATGAAGGGTGTACTCTTGATGACAAAATAATAATAACTCACCTCTAGCTCTTTAAGGTTTGCAGAGGGGGCTGGCCTCTCTGCATAGCGAGGTTTGGGGAGCCGAGGGGTAGAGGCTGGCTATTGAAGCAGCTGACTCTTGCATCTCTCTTCTGAGCCACTGTCTTTTCATTGCCTGCTGCGCTACAGGGGAAGAGCCCTCGGTGCAGAGGGAGCTCAGTCAGCCCTCCTGGTGCTAACACAGGCAGCAGCTGCCACCATTGAAGTGTGGAGCATCTGCATTTGGGTTTGGCAGGATTTGGGTCACGTTCTAGCCTGAGACATGACAAAAACATTGGTGACAACTGGGCCCTGGGGAAAGTTCCTGCCAAAGGAGTTTCTTCAGATGGCCCCACAGGTCATCTGTGGTTTCCTCGTCCTTTTAAATTTCTGTCTTTTTTCTAGACCCTAGTCATGAAAGAGCCGGGGGGAACCTGCGGTACTTTGAGACGCTGTTAGAGAAAGAAAGGCTTGGAAAGAGGTTAAATAAGACTTCAGAGGCTGAACCAGCAACCCAAGGGGGCATCTATGAGAGGCCTCCAGACTACCTGCCTGAGAGAGATGTTTACGAGGCCCTCTGTCGAGGGGAAGGCGTTAAACTGGTGAGACCAAATGATAGGATCAAAGGAATTGGGAGCCAGAAGGGACCTTGGGAACATGCCCTTATTTTACCAAGGAGGAATCTGAGGCCTAGAGAGGTTAAGTGACTTGCCTTGAGTCATACAATTAGGCAGTGGAAGAGCTGGAACCAAAATTCAGATTTTTGAATTCCTAGTTGGGTATTTTTCCCTCTCTCATCATACAACAGGTGTGTAGCTGTTCTGAGATTTTTTTTTTTTTACAAGGGACTGAAAGATTCTGGTCCTAGGGACAGATATAACACCTGGGCTGTGAGTCTTAATATGGAAACCAGAAACTCAAGTAAACACTTTCCCAAGAACTCACCAGTTTGGTAATGTCTCTTTGATTTCATTTTGAAGGCTTCTGGGAGGAAGAAACCAGAAATGTTAGATCACCCTGGGAGGAAGTGTCACTGGCAGAATTAAGATATACAGTTGATAGTGGCCTTTTATCACTCTCTATAAATGATAAGTATAGACGATCTCTATTCTCTTGGGCATTTTTCTATCATCCTTTTTATAATGAACGAGCTTGCAAATGAGCATACAATATGTACTAGCCTTCAATTTTGGATGTGGCTATCTTCCAGCTAGGAAGTCCATCATTATTTAAATTGATGCAATTAGAGTTTGATTTTGTCCATAGGATCATAGATTTAAAGTCAGAAAGGACCATGGAAGTCATCTAGTTCATATAAATAAGAAAACTGAGGCCCAGGAAGGTTTTAAGTTGATACAGACAGTAAGTGGGATTTGAACCAAAGTGTTCTGACTCGGGCAGCTAGATGGCACAGTGTATAGAGTGCTGAGCCTGGAGTCAGGAAGACCTGAGTTCAAATCTGGCCTCAGACACTTACTACCTTGTGTGACTCTGGGCAAGTCACTAAACCCTGTTTGCCTGAGTTTCCTCATCTGTAAAATGAGCTGGAGAAGGAAATGGCAAACCTGCGTTATCTTTGCCAAGAAAACCCCAGATGGATGTGACTGAAACAACTGAATAATTCTGACTCTAAATCCCGTGCTCTTTCCATTCTGTCACAGTTTCTGTTGTGTCCATGTGTTTTCTTTGACTCATTTCTAAGGCTGCTTGACTTCCTGAGGCTGTAACACAACTGGAATGGTATTTTAGAAAAAGAAACTCCTTTGTGTTATAGCCAGGGAATTGTTCAGTTGCCATAAAAACTTATATAATGAGTTGTCTTGAGACATTCCCCTGTAGTCACTAGCCTTGTTATGAGAGAAAATTACTTTGGGTTCAAAACAGGTGAAATATTAAAAATTACATTAATATCTTATAATTATGCCTAAGGAAGGATAGCGGAGGTGACTGCTTAAGGTTTCATAGAGCCCTCAGGATCTGTCCCCTAGAGATGCTTTACTCTGAAAAGCCAGACTTGCATAAATCCATAGGCTTTTCCATCTGGTATACCCATTAGTCTTTTCTTGTTGCAACTGAATGGTGTGGCTTCGGTGGCACAGCTTGGGGGGGTGGGGCATTTCATCTTTTAGAGCAGAGGCTCAACCATGGGAGGGGTGGATTGGCTGACCACACTCAGCGAGGTATTTGTTTCTCTGTGTCCCCCACAGACACCCCGGAGACAGAAGAGACTTTTCTGTAGATACCACGACGGCAACAGGGCACCCCAGCTGCTGATTGCCCCCTTCAAGGAGGAGGACGAGTGGGACAGCCCACACATTGTAAGATACTATGATGTCCTGTCAGATGAGGAGATTGAGAAGATCAAGGAAATCGCCAAGCCTAAAGTAGGTGCCTCTGTCTCGCCCTCATTTCTCCTTTTTGTTCCCAGGGTTTTTCTTCATGATACTGTTAGTATCTCCATGTTGGGAAAAATCCACATCTAAACCAAGGTAACTCAGCAAAAAGAAATTTTTAAAATATTTTTAAAAAGTAAATGTTTTATGAAAAACTTGAGAGGTAGCAGTGATGTAGTACATAGAGACCTGGCCTCAGTCACCTACATGCTGGATGACTGTAGAGAATCACTTAACCTCTTAGTACCCCAGGCAACTCCCCAGGCCTACAAGACACAGAGAAGAGGCCAATTAGTAGATGGGGTTTCCTCACTGAGAATTCCCTCTAATTAATTAAATTACAGATTCAAAAAAAGAGAGAAAAAAATGAAAAACGTTGAGCATCAGTTCAACTAAATTTGCACAGCAGCCATTTACATTTTAATGAATTTATTTAAATGAGACCTAAGTTCTTAGCAGAGGATGAAAGACTAGATTTTCTTCTCTGCCGCATAGGTCAACAGCTTGCTTTCCAGAGATTTAGAAAAAAAAAGTCCCAGTTTGTAGATATGCTAATATACTGGAGGATTAGACGCTTTGGTCCCAAGCTGAGCCTTGGAAAGGTGTTTTGGAACAGACACACTTGGCATGAATCACACCTATTTATGTGGTCGAGACACAGTCACCGCCAAGGTGCTGTGCCAAGAGGGCCCAGTGGGATATTCCTGTGAATGGATGATGGTCTGCGGGAGTCAGAGAGCAGCAAGCTCAGTCTTCTAAATCATGCAACCCACGACCTTTGTAAACAGCGCCTGGGAAGGAGAGCAAGTGAATGTGGGTCTCTGGGGATGTGAGTTATATTTGGATATTTGAATGTCCCTACAGCAATGTTTTCTTTAAGTGTTAGCCAGAAAACCGGTCCCCATCTGCTAAAAGAATCACACCCTGGTGAACCTGGATGTAAGCCCTGCTACCATCTCACAAACATATGAAAATTCACTCCAGGACCTTTGTGAAGTAAGCATGGGTAGAAATTCAGAAGGTTGGTTTTATAGGGTGTTTCCTCTCTGGCCAAGGAATGAGTTAGTGGCAGAAATAACCTATTGAGATGTCCTTAACACTCTCGCTTTTCCTTTCATGAGGTTTGTTTTGGGAATTAGTGATGAGTTTCTGAGGTCTCTTCCAGCTTAAACATCCTGTGTTTTGTCATGTGTACCCGGCTTCATGCTGTGTGATAGTGTAGCATCTTAGAGGTCAGGTTTCTAGACTCTGCTGAGAACATTCTGATAGTCATATTGTGTGTATGTATGTGTGTGTGTGTGTGTGTGTGTGTGTGTGTGTGTGTGTGTGTGTGTGTGAGAGAGAGAGAGAGAGAGAGAAAGAGATATTTCATTGGCATAAGGGACTACTCTGCATTTGATCATCTTAGAAAATTGCCTGGAACACTGAGAAGTTAAGTAATAACTAACACTTCCATAATTATATATTACGTGCTAGGCACTGTTCTAAGTGCTTTACAAATATTCTCTCATTGGATCCTCACAACAGCCCTGGGAAGGAGGTAGTATGGCTATCCCCATTTAACAGTTGAGGAAACTGAGGCAATAACTTGTCCATGGTCACTTAGCTAGAAAATGTCCGAGGCTGGATTTGAAGTCTGATCTTCCTGACTTCAGGCCAGGTGCTCTGTATACTGAGCCATGTAATTGCCACAGCTTAATTAAGTGACTTGCCTAAGATCATATATACCTAGTATGTGTCAGAAGCAGGACTTAAATTAGATTCTTCCTGACTCTGAGGCTGGCACTCTTTCCAAAAAATGAAAAAAAACCAAACACCAAGAACCAAAAAAACAACAAATAGAACTGGAGACTGTACAGTTCATTACTAGTTAGTAAATATTGTGCTAAGTGCTAGAGGTACCAAGAAAAGTAAAAGGCAGTCTGTGCTCTTAAGAAGCTTATGATTTAATGGGGAAAACAACAAGTAAATAACTGTGCAGATAAGCCACATACAGGATCAAATTGGAAATAAGCAACAGAGGGAAGGCATTAGAATTAAGAGAAGTTGGGAAAGGCCTCCTATAAAAAGTATAATTTTACCAGGGATTTGAAGGAAGCCAGGAGGCAGAAATGAGGAGGGGAGAATATTTCAGGCATGGGGGACAGCCAGTGAAAATGCCTGGAGTGTGCAGATGGAGTGATCTTGTTGGAGAAATAACAAGGTGAATTGAATATCACTGGGTTGAAGAGTGAGTGCGCGTGCACGTGTGTGTGTGTGTGTGTGTGTGTGTGTATGTGTGTGGTGGTAGTGAAGGTGGTGGGGGTTTAAGGGTTAAGAAGGCCAGAAAAGACAGGGAATTGAAGTTATAAAGAACTTTGAACACCAGTCAGAATTTTGTATTTAGTCTTAGGGATAATAGGGAGCCACAGGAAATTATTGAGAAGGTGAAAAGCACACATCACTTTGCACAAAGGAAGATGGCTTTGACAGCTGAATGGAGGACAGTAGAGTGGGGAGAGCTTGAGGCAGGCAAACCTACCAGTTGGCTGTTGTCCAGGCATGAGGTGATAAAGGCCTGCACCAGGGTGGTGGCATTGTCAGAGGAGATAAGGGAGAGTATATATAAGAGCTTACAAAGGTCTAATCAACAGGACGTGGCAAATGATTGGGTGTGACAGAGGTGGGGGGGAGTGCTGAGAGAGAGTGAGATATCAGGGATGACACGGTTGTGAACTTGGTTTCATAGGGGGTTTCCTCTTAGGCTGAGGAGTGAGTTGTTACCAATTAATAATCTGTTTGTTTTGTTTTGTTTTGTTTTAGGCAGTTGGGGTTAAGTGACTTACCCAGGGTCACACAGCTAGTATGTGTCAAGTCTGAGGCCGAATTTGAACTCAGGTCTTCCTGACTTCAGAGCCGGTGCTCTATCCACCGCACCACCTTGCTGCCCCTAACAATCTGTTTTTAACACTCTTATTTTTCCCATCCTGTTTTGTTTTGGGAATGAGCAGTGCATTTCTGAGGTCTTTTCCGGCCCTCCTGTGCTTTGGTCATCTGTGCCCAGCTTCATGCTGGATGACGGTGTGGCTGCTGCTATGTGAGATCATAAATCTATAAAACTGGAAAGGCCTCATAGACCATGTACACCAACCCCATCCTTTTACTGATGAAAATACTGAGTCCAGAGAGTGACTTGTCCAAGGTCACACAGATAGAGTTATAAAATGGAACTTGAACCTGGAGCCTCAGAACTCCAGAGCCAGTGTTCTTTCTACCATACCAAGGTTACTAATGCCAAAGGCTATGCCTGGTAGTAATTTACCCTCTGGAAGTCCTTTACTCTCCCTGCTTCCGGTGCCTGAGTGCTAAGAATATTATTGCTTGTTCAGTGAGCCAAGACATGTCTTTGAATTACTCTGCACCAATTGGCTTTCCACCCTGAGGCAACAGATGCTTAGCCTGCTCTGAAACTAGGTTGGTCGATGTACTCTGAGGTTGCTAAGCTGGTAGGGACGGTGGGCTCTGAGGTAGCATCAGGAACACAGCCTAGCACTGGAAATAGTCCCAGCAGGGCTGAGCAGAGCACTGCCTTCCTGTATTGCATTTCTGGGTTTTGCATCGTGTCTAGGGGTCAGAGATGTTTGGTCAGAACTGGGAAGGGACTGGAAAGTTAAAGGGCTGTAAAGGAAGAGGATGGTGGCGATCAAGGCAGCACCATTTTACAAGCATCAAGCAGTTGTTAAGAGAAGCATTATTTTCCTTTCCCATGTGAGCCTTATGACCAAGGTAGTTTATATAAGGTTATACAAGGTTACAGGAAGGGCAGTAGGGAAGTGGAATATAGTATATTGGTATGAAGAAAAATCTTCAGAGCTGCAGATGTCTTTGGTCACTGTTTTATGGAGATTACCACTAAATCAGAAGGCCACCACGGTCTCAAGGGACCTTCCCCATATCTGGGGAAGTAGGGGTTGGCCTGCTGTGCCTATATCTAAACCAGAAAGGAGTAAGCTCATTCCTGGAGACATGAGACTGTGCTGTCCAGGTAGGGACGGCTAGGAAGTAGACGTCTTTGTCTACGTGAACTGTATCTCTCATGATTCTGCATTTGAGCTTATGAAAGCTCACACATAGGGCCAAGGAAGCTATGTCTTGTTTTCCTTCCTTCGGTGGTGCAGTTGGGGACCATCTGTGGCTGTCCGTGCTATCTGCTGGCTGACGATTGAGGTTTCAGTTGTTCTTTCTCTGGTTATTTAGCCATCCCTGGAGGCTCCAGGCCATAGAGAGTTCATGCAAGACTTGGGGCGAATCACTCTCCATTCATCCTCATCCTTTTTTGCCTCAGTTTCTCCTTCTTCTCTAATTCCTAGATGAAGTTAAAGATAAGTCTTGTTACATACAGCTTTCTGTTTTCGTTGGGCTACCATGGAAACGTGTGGTTTAATTTTTGTGCAAGAATCCAGGTTTGTTCCTTACAAATAGCCATTCTTTGTACATGGACATGAGTCATATTCCTAATTCTGGAGGCAGCATTCTATTCCCTGTCCTCTGCCTGTCAGAAAGGGGTGGAGAAGGAGACTCAGGATCCAGCTGGCAGCGGAGGATGGGGAGGCGAAGTGCCTGAGTGAGAGGATGACTATTGATTAATTTGAATGTAAGAAGAGAAAATTTCCCAAATGGAAATAAATAAGCCTGTTCTAGGGGTTAGAGAAGGGCTTTTGGGCCCGTTGACAGTAACTTTTGGAATGGAGAGAAAGTCGGGATCCTGGCTTTGTTTGAGTCAGCAATGTGAAAAGCTATCTTACCAAGGGCAGATGTGTGAGGAGATGGGGGTTGGGAGGTATGGGTGGAGTTGAGCCTGCTGAGTGGGCCTGTGGAAAGAAGATGAATAAGCCACAAAGGCCACGTCCTCCTCTTCCTCCTGCAGACTCAGTCCCAAAGTGACAAAGGATTGGATTTTTTTTTTTGATGTTTTGTGTGAGGGGGTAGTGATAAGGTGCCAGCAGGTAGATGACACGTTGGGCATTCAGGGAAGAGTCAGTAATGAGAAATTCCATGTACCCGCAGGGAATATTGGCCAGCCTCAGATGAGGGCTGCAGTTCTGGGTGGTTGGGCTGGTCTCCTTTCCCTGAGGACTTTTTCTAGTACTGGCCACCCCTAGCTCCACTGGGGAAGATGCCAAAGGACTTATCTTGCCCCACAGTCAAGCAAGAGCTGGGATGGAATCTGAGCGTCACTACTATGAGGCTTTTAACTGAGTCCTCTGTTCTCCTTTGCATCACAGCCCTTATGGGTGTAGAATAAGCTGTTCTGTGCTCTGATACCTCCTTACTTTCCCATTAATCCTTTGAGTTTACCAGTGTCCTCACACTCTGTTCCATACTCCATTGCCTGGGGGCAGGGTGAGATGAGGTATTGGACATCTTTTCTAGGTAAGGAAAGATTCCCTCACTTAGAAGGTAAGGAGGGCTTGGACTGTCTTGCTTTTATTTTTGTATTCTTAACACTTAGCACAGTGCCTGGCACATATTAAGAACTTAAAAAATGCTTTTTCATTCATTTATTCACTCACTCATTTTCTTCCCCTGTCACTAGGAGTATGCCTAGGAACTGCATTATGAAAATAGGCTGGTGCATCCTCCTTGTGGTTAGTGGGCAGCAGACATCTAAACTCTGTCTTCTGTCTCTGCCTCTGGTCCTACTTGGAATGTGGTGGTATTGTGTGTGCTCTTGACTGAGACATGTGCCGTGTCTCATGGCTCCCTCTTTAAGCTGGGTTTGGGTTCTTGAGCCTACCTGCTGCTCTCTGAACTTGACATGCCATCTTCTGTCCCCATGTCTTTGAATGCTGAAAATGCTCACTCTCCTCACCACCACTTCTTGGGCTTCAGCTCAAGTGCCACCTCTTTTAAGAGACCTCTCCCAATTATCCCAGCTATTAATGCCTGTTCCTGCCCCTCCAAAATAAGCATATTTATTTTGTGTATACCTTGTATTTATTTGTCTATCAACATATATCCTATGAAGGGAGGGACTTTATTGCTTTTGCATTTTTACAAAAGTACATAACAGTGTGCACAAACGCAGTGCCTGGCACATAGTAGATGTTTAATAAGTGATTGTTGATGGATTGATTTGGGTGCTTCATGCTACTTTGAGGCTGGAACAGCTTGGGAGAGTACTTCTCAGCCTATTTCACCATGTAAATCAGTCACATGGAGCAGAAAACTAGTACCCCTCTCTGCTTTGTTGCACCATAGTGCAACCCAATTTTGGGAGGGGGCTGGTGATTAGGAAAAAGAGGAAAAACTCTTGATCATCTGGTCCTACTCCCCACAGCTGGCAAGAGCCACAGTCCGTGACCCAAAGACAGGTGTCCTCACCGTGGCCAACTACAGGGTTTCTAAAAGGTAAGGAGGGTGCTACCCTGCTCTATGAGCCCCCAACCCTAAACTTGGCCCTGGGGCATCCTGATGGTTGATTTAGATTTTACCTTGTCACTTTCCAGTTACACCCCTTTCCTATTTTCCTCTGCCCCTGCTGCCTAACCTTCTGTATGAGTCCTGGCTCACAAAGCTAGCCAACCCCCATGTGAAACATATTGTGTGTGTGTGTGTGTGTGTGTGTGTGTGTGTGTGTGTGTGTGTGTGTATTTCTATACTTGTGCAGTGGGTTGTAAAGAGGCAAGGCTGTGTTATGGAAAGAATGCAGAATTCAAGCCCTGTCTCCTCTTGCTTGGCATTGAAAGCCCTTTAGAGTCTGGCCCCAGCCTGCCTTTCAAGCCTCATTTCGCATCATTCCCCATTTTACGTTTTAGCTGAGCTGATTTCCTTGCTGTTCCCCAGACTCAGAATCCCGTCTCCTATTGCCGTGTCTTGGTACAGATTGTTCTAGATGTCTGGGGTGTAATCTTCCTCTTTCCCTCTTACGTTCCTCGGCTTTTACCAGGATTCAGCCCTTAGGGCTCTCTTATCTTCTGGTGTAATTCTTAAACTGGGGTCTGTGAACTTTTAAAAAATTTATAAATATAAAGAATATCATAAATATATATATATATATGTATATAACCAATATAATTGGTTTCCTTTGCATTTCTATTTTCCTATTTCATAATCCTTTGGATTTCATTTTATACATTTAAAAACATAATTGAGTCCATCCATGGGCTTTGCCAGATTCTGCCATAAGGCTCCATGACACCAAAAAGGTAAAAAACCTGCCCTAGTTGTTGGTGTTCTCTCTTCAAATTTTCTGAAATTTACTTATTGTATAAATATTATACCTTATATTGGAGCATAATCGTTTTGAAGGTATGGGTCATTTTTTGTTTTTGACTTGGTAATTGCAGTGTTTTTCCCATGGTAGGCACTTAATAAATGCTTGCTGAATTTAACCAAGTTGAACATTTACTATCTTTGCAAGCCCTAGGCAAGTTGCCTGACCTCTGAGCCTCGGTTTCCTCATCTGTAAAATAAGAGGGTTGGACCAGATCATCTCTAAGGTCCCTTCTGCCTCTAAATCCTATGACCCTAGGTTCCTGTTGGTGGTGTATTTGTGTGTTTCTGCATAGGGTGTGAAGTGCTTTTGTGTACCAGTTGTGGGGTGGGGTTGGTTGATGTTTCCCATGAAGCCCCAGGGGCACTGAAAGTGTCCTGACTAGGCTATGGTAGCTGACCATTTTGACATGTTGGGATTGTGGTAGGAGAACTCCCTGGTAATCTGGTGCCAATATCCTGACCCTAACCCTTTTTTTTCCATTTTCCACTTGAACCACCAATGCTGTCCCCTTCCCCCCTTTTTTCCCAAGCTGGGCTGGTCCAGGGTACCCTCCATGTGCCTCTCCTCTTTCTGTTCCCCATGCTTAGCTCGTGGCTAGAGGAAGATGATGATCCTGTCATTGCCCAAGTGAACAGAAGAATGCAGTACATCACAGGATTGTCTGTAAAGACGGCTGAATTGCTACAGGTAGGGAGCCCAGCTGGGGAGGGGAGGTGAGAGAATAAGAGATTTGTCTCTGTAGGGCCTGGGGTGGGGTCTCCAAGGGAATTAGGGGAGAATGCTCTCTCTGGAGATGCTAAGAGATGTGGAAAAAAAAGTGAGGGGTGAGGAATCCCAATCAATAAATATTTATTAAGTTCATGTTATGTGCCAAGCACTACTGAGAATATAAAGGCAAAAAAAAAACCCAAAACAGTTCCTACCTTCAAGAAGCTTAAAATCTATGGGGGGCAATAATATGTACACATATACTAATATAAAAAATATGTACAAAATAAAGACAAGTTCTTTTCATGGGGGGTGGGACTGGGGCAAGTTCTCATGGAGGTGGCTGAACTCATTGGGGTGAGTGAAGCATCTTGGGAAATGCATGTAACTTTAGAGGGCTGTGGCTTTTGCATCCCTTCGAACTGAAGGGCCGTGATTCACCTCTGTCAGAATGAAAATATATGGTTCAAGTAGATGTGATATTGGACAGAGTTCCTTATAGAAACATCAAAGCACATTTCCAGCCTGGCTGGGTCTTGGGTTTTCCACTAGTTCCTGTTGGTCAGCCTCTCCTCATTTCCCAAACCAAGTTGAACCTTGTTTTCCCAAAGCCTGAGGACCTAACAAAGGCACTGCTTCCTCAAGGAGGCCTCATTCCACTCTCTATTTGGGCCTCATTTGCTTAACCATATCTATGTCACTTCCTCCGCAGGTTGCTAATTATGGAATGGGAGGACAGTATGAGCCCCATTTTGACTTCTCCAGGGTAAGCCCCAGAACTTTGTGCTGGGCTAGCAGGTCCCAGTGCCCACCAGATTCCAGCTCCCCAGGGATCAGAGAATCTTAGCTAGGAGAGGGCTATGGGTGATGGGTCCCCCCAGTCTCCCAGGGGCTTGGGATTTGTACGATAGCTAAGCAAGGATACAACACAGAGTCCAGAATTTCTTAGAAATAGAACTATCTCTGAGTCACACTGAGTATAACTGAGACTGTAATAAAGTGGGACCCTGAGTGTCTAGATTCAAAATGTAGATTCTCTGATTCCAGACACTCTAGGAACCTCAAGGATAAAGCCCTCATAATCATGAGATAAATCTGACTCCATATTCCTTTCTCTACTGCAGGAGATGTTTCTCCTGTGCTTCCTCCTTTCCTCCCTCCCTCCTCTGTCCCCGCCCATCACCTGTGTTTGGGATTAATTTCTGGGCCTTTACCAACGATGTCCCCAGCCTCCATCAGTTTTGTCAGCCTGTTAGGCTCCTCCTTTCCCTTTGCTAATACATATGTACATACACATATATGTGCATATACATGTGTGTACACGCATTTAAATACATATATTTGGGAGCCACCTTCTTGGGGCTTACTTCTGGCCCTAGATTTCAATCTCAGCCATAAATAAACCTCTAGACAGGTTTCTTCTTCTCTCTCAGTGAAGCCTAGTGTCCTGTAAATTCCCAGACACGTTCCCTGCTTTTTTCTTCCCAGCCCCCAGACACTTACCAAGTGTACTTCACCTTGTCTGTCCTTCCCTTGCCCCATCTAGAAAAGCTAGTGGTGTCTCTTGGTGTGGCCTGCACTGTGCAGCTGATCCTGCTGGTCATCTCCTGGGCTTCTTGTGACCCCAAAGTCCTTCCCTTTGGGTAGGCCATCCTGTGCCATCTGTGTTCCTAGGGTTGCACTGTGGGTTCCAGGGCATCCCCATGCCAGTCAGACCTGCAGGCCTCTGTGCCCACTGGGTTGTTGCCTCTAAAGGTCTCCACTCCCTGCCCCCTTCCCCTTGTGTGATGGGCAGGACTGATCACTCACTCAGGTGGAAGTTGTTGTTTGTTACAGCGGCCTTTTGACAGCGGCCTGAAAACGGAGGGGAATAGGTTAGCGACATTTCTAAACTATGTAAGTACTGGGCCTTGGCCCTCCTCTTCACTCTTACTTAATTTTTATAGAAAGGTGAGCCAGATGCTTTCAAGCGTTTAGGGACGGGGAATCGTGTGGCCACGTTCTTAAACTACGTGAGTATGATGTGTGCACGAAGCCAGCACCACAGTGACCACAGCCCCAGACCTCGCCCTCCTCCTAGCTCCTACCCACGGGGCTGGCATACAGTACAGTCAGTTTTCAGTTATCCAGAGTCTACTTTGCACCCTCCTCGCCCCCTGCCCTCCAGCACCCTCCTTCCCCATTCATAGCTGTCCAGAGCAGAAGAAGTGGGGACAGAATAAAGAGGCAGAAGTGAAGGACAGTCACTTCTGGATTTCCCATGTATGGATTATCCAGGCTCTTCTATAAACCCAGGCTGACTTCGCCAGCAGGTTTTGAGCAACCTCCTCTCCACAGGATCAAACCCTCTTCTTGTACAGATGAGGAAACTGAGGTACAGAGAGGAAATAACTTACTCAAGGTAGTAAGCAGCAGAATCAGGTATTAAATCAGGCTCTTTGACCCCAAATTTAGTAATAATAATTATCATAAATAATAACATTTATATAGCATTTTAAGAGCCCTTTGAGGTAGGTGTTGTTATTATCCCCATTTTACGGATGAGGAAACTGAGGCTGAAAGAGGTTAAATTGCTTGTCCAGTGTCCCATAGCTAGTAAGTATCTGAGTCAGGGTTCAAACCCTTGGCAATTTTCCTGACTCCCAAGTCCAGTATTCTATCTGCCATGTTACCCAGATGCCTCTCGGGTACCCATCAAATACTAAATGATTCAAATATCATCCTAGAGAAGTAGAACAAGAAGATCAGGTCCAATGTACTCTGTTCCAGAGCCAAGGAGAGTGACACACAATGGCACTACCCTCCAAAAATTCTGAGAATGGGGAACTGGCAGTAACTGCATTGGATTCTTTGGGAGCACCTTGTTACCTATTTGGGGACTGGAAAGGAGTGGAAATGCAATTTGGGATACCTGTGGATTTCAAGTGTCACTGCCCTCCTGATGGCTTCCCTGTGATCCCCAAACGCTATGGATAACTGAGAGCTGGCTGGAGCTGAGGATGGTGTTGCCCAACCTTAGCTTCTGTTCCCATCCACGGGGCCCTCCTCAAGGATTGATGATCCAGGCTCTTTCTATATGACCTCAGATATATATCAGCCTTGAAAAACCAGGAGCCACAATGGAAGGAGGCTTCTGGCTGGGAATAGAAGAGAATAACCAGTAGATGAATTGCTTTTAACCCCAATCTGCTTCCTACATTTTCTCTCCCAGGGACAGGGAATGCCCATTGCCTAATTCCTCTGGGCTGCTAATCACATTTTTGCTGTTACTGGAGGCCTGGGGGGGCAGGGCCCCAGTTTGCAACAATGACTCACTTTACCTTCTAACCCAGGGGACTTTTTTAACTTGGTGTTCATGGGTGGGACAAGACTTAACTTGTTCCAGGGAGAGTGAAGAGATTTTTCCCTTCGGGAAAAGAGTTTGGGGATAAAAGAAAATGTTTCTTTGCTAAAGCTTGACATTTCCAAGATTTATTATCACGATCTGATGAATGTTCAGCTTTGAAGCAGTTTTTGGGTCTAGTTTTGATTCAATTAAGGTTTTAAAAAAATAGCTATCCTTTTTATTTGGAATCACTTACCTCTTTATGGGAGGTGAAGAGACTGCCAGTGTTAGGACTCTGTCCCTGTCCCTTGTCCCAGGGGCGTAAATATTGGCTGTTCATTCTTTTCTTGGCCTCCGTGTGCTTGAAGAGGAAACTCTTCTCTGGGTCTCCTCCCTATACTGGGACAGTAAGAAATGGATAGACTAGCAAAATACTATGATAATATGTTTTTTACAAACTGATCTAACACCAGAAATTTTTTTTAAAAAGTAAACGAAAAATGCAATTATAAGCCAGATAAAGAAAATGAAAGCTGACTCCATAGTTGTTTTAGACCTGACTCATGTTTTCTTGGTGATTGAGGTTCAGTTTTGGAACAGAATGAAATATTCATAGGTCATCAACTGTTAACTTCCTGGTGCTCGTGTGTATGTGTGTGTGTGTGTGTTTATTGTTTTAGTGAGAATCTTTTCTTTGCGTAAAGGCAGGTGCTCTAATTTTACAAAACAACCTCTTTAATACTTTTTATTGAGAATACCTTTGTTCCTGTTATTGAGGATTTCTTAATCATGCTGATTGCAAAGGTCCAGGGAGCTTTGTGGTAGAGCTCTATGGTGCAGCTTTGAATTGCTTCTCTTCTGGGTCAGATCTTTACCTGGGATATATACTGGAAGTGCCAATCTTACACAGAGAGCCTTCGGCAGATCCTTCAGCACTAGCTTTGTGTTTCACTATCTGCCTTAAAAACAGGCAAGGAGAGGGATAAGTGTAGAGTGTAGAGCCCCAAGACACCGAATCCCTGCCTGCTCACTATAACACTAAGGCACCCCCCCAACCCAATCCAGTTAATATTTATTAATAATTCTGACTCTGCAGATACCAAGACAAGATGAAAAAGAAATCCTGCCCTCAAGAAGCTTATATTCTGCTTGGGATAGGGGAAGCAACATGTACTAATGATAATTTGAGATTAAAGAAAGCACCGAACACTAAGGGGGGATCCAGGGAAGCCTTCTGGAGTTGGGGAGCTTCAGGAAGCCAGAGATTCCAAGAGGCAGAGGTAGGGGGGGAGTACATGCCCCTCTCCACCACCTACCTGCCACTCCCACCGTCACCCCCACATGCCTCTTGCTGTTTCCCTTTTGGCCACCTGAAGTTCTGTTTCTTCTGAGATAGCTGAGTTGCATGATTCACTGCCACATAGCATCCTTAGGTAAAGAATTTGTAGAACACTTAAGCTAGAAGGAAGTCTAGCACTTTTCCTTCCCTTTGACAGCCCACATGTATCACTACCATGAGCCAAGGAATCGGGCTGATGTCAGAGAAAGGAATCTTGTGCTGGAGAGCCTCCCCTTATCAGCTGGACGGGTGGCTAAGTCAGGACCATGTCCTATCCATCCACAATGATGGCTGTATTTAGTTATTCTCCTGGAATGTCTGGGTTATGCACAGAATGTTATTCTTCCTGAATTACTGATGATAGCCTTTATACAAAGGAGGCTATTTTGTAATAGGGGAACACCTACCTTTAAGCAAGTCCACTATGAAAATACAGATTTAGGGGGAAAAAAAGATAATTATAGGTGAGAGGTTGGCTAGAATTATTCACTTTAAAGAAAGATTCCCCACAGGAATCCTTTGAATATAGGATTATCTCTTCCTCCCACCCAGTGCAATCAGATAGGATTTTAATGAACAAAAATTCAGTATATAACCAAGCAACCATTCTGGAGGATAAACTCCTGCTTAGGCAGGGGGCTGGCTTTGTGAGACTTTCCTGAAATATTCTTAATCACTATGGCTTGTTTTCCTAGATGAGTGATGTCGAAGCTGGTGGGGCCACAGTATTCCCAGATTTTGGGGCAACAATTTGGCCCAAAAAGGTAAATTGTCTTGTTAGATGAAGCTGACCTTAATCACAGCTCAGCCCATTCTGTTCCCATGAATGAAACATCATAGATCCAGAGGCTGGTGGCCACCTGCCCTCCAAGAGTCCAAGGAGCTTCCAGCTCTATTTGTGAAAATGACTAGTCACCTAGCCCTGCCTTGAATCTCAGACATACTGAGCTGAGCTCCTAGCCCATAACCCTAACCCCAGGGACACTCCCGCAGACAAGAGAGATAAGGCAAAGATTAACATCCTTTAAAGGGACAACTGCACAGAAAGAATAGGAAAAAAGCCTGGTGAGGCCAATGTCTGGTTCTGTGGGCCCCATGGGACTGTCATCAGATGTCTGGTGCCTGGCCCTGCCCCTGCAGATAGGAGATTCAAGTTACTTTGTCCCAACATAACCAGGGAAAAGATGACATCCAATGACCTCTGGTTTCCAAGGTACTGACAGGGTTATGGCCCATGTTCACCCACTGAATTAATTAATTAGGTTTTTTGTGTCTAGATGGTCTCCCACACTGAGAAAATTCCCTTTCCCTCCACTGTCATTTTAAAAATACTCTCTTTAAGCTGTCTCAGAGCCTTACTATCTGAGGCGATGAGAGCAAATGTTGCCTCCATCATGATCAGGTCCTCTCTCTTCCAGGGCACATCAGTGTTCTGGTATAATCTCTTTCGCAGCGGGGAAGGTGACTACCGGACACGACACGCAGCCTGCCCAGTGCTTGTTGGCAGTAAATGGGGTAAGCGACAGGACCTGTGTTTCTTTGGCCCCTAAAAGGGTAGCCTAGTGTTGGTGGGAGCACAGGGGCTGAATGTTTCCTATCGATCAGACTTATTTTTTTAACACTTTATTTTTATTTATTCATTCATTTTTTTGCGAGGCAATGGGGTGAAGTGACTTGCATAGGGTCACATAGCTAGTGTCAAGTGTCTGAGGTCAGATTTGAACTCAGGTCTTCCTGAATTCAGGGCCAGTGCTCTATCTACTGCACCATCTAGCTGCCTCTATTCAGACTTATTCTTGATGGAATTTACACTACCAGATTTACCCAAAGCCCAGACCAGGATATCCCTAGGTTTGGGTTTTCTTTACTAACCCACTTCTCCAGCTTCAAGCTCCCCTGTGTCGAGCCACATGCACATTTGGACATGTGCCCAGGAGGAGAAGCGGCAGCGCTGTTGTGAGCAGCGTCTTGGGCTGTGTTTGCCACCAGTGTGAATGGTTCAGGTGGGAAAGATCTGGTCTGCAGAGCACAGCAGTATGTGGTGCCAGTGCGAATCACCTCAGGGAAGGGGGAGGACTCTTGGCCGAAGTTTGGGTTCTCTTCCTGCCTGGAATGGTGCTTAGTACAGTGTAGGCATTTCGTAAGTACCTACAGAATTTAATTGAAATAAATTGGGGTCATAGTGGATAAAGTACAAGATTTGGAGTTAGGAAGAACTGGGTTTAACATCAACCCATGTGACCATGGGTAATTCTGTTAATTTCTCTGAGCCTCACTTTCAGTATTTGTAAAGTAGGGATAATAATACCAATAGTGTGTACATGGTTAGGATGCAGCTAAAATAAGATGTTAATAATAATAGCTAACATCGACACGGCACTTTAAGGTTTGCAAAGCTCTTTACAAATGTCTCACTTTATCCTCACAACAACCCTAGGAAGTAGGTGCTATTGTTATACTTATTTTATACATGAGGAAACTGAGGCAGGCAGGAGTTAAGTGACTTGCCCAGGGTGACATAAGTAGTAAATGTCTGAGGCTGGATTTGAACTCAGGTCTCTCAGATTCCAGGTTGAGCACTGTCCACTGAGCTACCTAGCAATTTAGATAATGTATCTAAAGACCTTGGCAAACTTTCTAAGTACTATATAAATGGCAGCTCTGATTATTTTCATGCTGAGGAGGGACTGTTGAGAAAACAGCAAGACATGACATATGTGCCACATGTCTCTGCCCTGGACATCTTTCATGATGTTGGTTGCTCAGCTCTCAGAATTCTGGGGCCCTCAGTTTGCCCTCAGCCATTTCATGGATAGCAGATGTGATTGTAACTCACTGTTTCTCTTATTCACAGTTTCCAATAAATGGTTCCATGAGCGGGGGCAGGAGTTCTTGAGACCGTGTGGATCAACAGAAGTCGACTGACCTCCCTTCTGGCTCCGGCCTCCCCAGTGCTCTTTCAATGCCTTCCCCTGCCCTTCTAGATCATTCCATCGGCCAGGGCAGCTCAGAATTGTCCCAACTGGTCTCTCAAGAAGTGGCCATTTGTGAGCACAGTGAAGGTAGAATGGGGAGGGAAGGGGGGGTGGGTTATTGTATCCCCCCCCCCCCCTCTCCACACACATTGATCTCTACTCCCTGCTAGTTTCTGGCTGTCCACTAGTGGTGCAGGATGTGTGGCTGCCAAGCTAGTCTATCTGGTTCTGTGATGATTTTTCCCAGATGGTTTTGATACTAAATATTTCCTCAAACCAAAGTTTTAAAACATTATGTGTTCATTTAATTTTATTGTGTTTCTATGGCTTGTGGAATTTACCTGGAAAATAAATATTTCTAGACAAAGGTCAGAGGGATTGTCTTTGCAGTGTGTGTGTGTGTGTGTGTGTGTGTGTGTGTGTGTGTGTGTGTGTGTGTGTGTGTGTGTGTGTGTAAAGCAGGAAGTGCCAAGTTAGCAGGCATTTCCTGAGCCTGGGGCTCAGTCTAGGGCAAACTGACTGGGGCTTGTGTAGAGGGGCTAGGTGGTGGTCTACACTTCTAGAGCCAGGATCTTCAAAGTGCAGCCTGACCACAGGAGTATGGGATCAGCCAATCAGAGACAGACCTCCCTTATAGCCAGTCCATTGCTGGTTCGCCTTCAGTACAACCACACCTACTCTAGTTTCCCCAATACTTCCCCACTCCACCCCTTCCTTTCCCCAAGCAAATTTTCCACTCCTCTAAGGTGGGTGTTGGCCCCATAGTGTTATAAACTAACTACTCTCCAGTTAGTCAACTAGCGTTTCTTAAGTCCCTACTATGTGCCAGCCAGCTACCCGCAGCAGCCACTGAGCAGGTGTTATTGGCAAAATCCCACCCTCCGCCCGGCCTGCGTACCCTCTGCCTTCCAAATCACTTAATGGCTGTGGTAGGCCCTCCCCAGAGGCAGCCTCTGTATGAACAAGAGCTCCATTGGCCCTTTCCATTTTGGGTGAGATAAACAGAGTCTCACGTGGGTGAGTTGTGAGCTGCATCTAAGATCCCATCAAGTTATGTTTTTCCCTAAACCCACCCATCTTCCTAACTCCTCTGTTTTTCAGAGGGCACCACCATCCTCCCAGTTATCCAGGTTTAAGATCTAGGCATCCTCTTCAGCTTCTTACTCTCACCCCACAAAGTTGCCAAATCTTGTCATTTCTACCTCAGCCACATCTCTCTCATCTGCCCTCTTCTTTCTGTTTACATGGCCTCCACCTTATTCACTCTCTTATCTCTTCTTGCCTGGGCTATTGCAATAATTGGTCTCCCTGTCTTAAGTCTCCCCTCTCCCATCCACCCTTTACTCAGCTGCCAGAGTTATTTTTCTAAAGCTCAGGTCTGACTGCACACACTCATATTCAGTAAACTCTAGTGGCTTCCTTTTGATTCTAGAATCAAATACTGTTTCATCAAAGCACATATGATTCTCTTAATATTTCTTTTTTATGGTTTGTTTTTTAATGGGAAAGGATCTGAGTTTATTGTGTTGAGGTCACGGTGAGGTCAGGATCTCCCACCTGAGCAGGTCTTGCTCACTGGCTATGTAGCTAGCCGTACCACCTGGTCCAAAGCATGGCCAGGGTGAGAGGGTATCAAGTCACCCATCAGTGGGTGGAGCTGCCAACATGGGAGGGGGATCGGGCAGGCAAAGTGTCCCAGTCACTTGAGCAGCTAGACCAGAGGGGATGGATGAAGCTTTCCCAATCAGAGGCAGCCTTGTGGTCTTCAGGGGGAAATTCTCTTCATCAAGATGGAGAACCTTCCAAGGAGGAAGGTTCAGGGGGCAGAGCCCCCTTGCACTGGCCCCCAAAAAGCCATGCTGGGCAGGGGCACATATCCTGGGTCAGGGTTTTATGTAAGTTTTATAATGTATATGTTATACATTAATACAGCATATATTAGTATAGTAGTACATGAAAATAAATCAGTAAATATGGACATCAGAAGGTGGGCTCAAGATCTTTTTTTATTGATAGGAGTTCATGATCAAAGAAGTGTGAAGACTAGCTGGTCTCCATTTACCACATTTCAGTCATTTCTCAGGGGCTTTAGTCAAAGTTTTCAGCTGTGGCAAATGTGCTGCTTCTGATCACAGCTCAGAATGAACTAGCTCTTTTCACAATCAACCAACAGCCAATCAGCAGGCGTTTCTTAAAGGCACATGATGTTCCAGGAACATTGGGGTTGCTGATACAAATGTGAGACAATCCTTGCTGTCAAAGTGCTTGCGTTTTGCTGGACAGACCAGAGATGGTTTCGTAGACATCTTTGCCTCCTCTAAGGAAGATCTATGTCAGTGGAGTCTTTACCAAATTCCCAATGGTCATTCAGTCTTCTCTTTATTAATTTTGGTTTTTTGTGAGATTGGAGATGGGGTGGCTGCCTTTTCCTTAGTCCTTCTTATACACAAAGTCAATTGGGTTATTCTGGGACAGTTTACTGGTAACATCTTAAGATTTAATGACCTTATTTATAGACAGTTTCCATCACCTCCCCATCCCAAGAGTTCATGGCTTGGCCCCTCCAGGTCTCCTGGGGGTCTCTTTCCCCTTTCCCTTTTGGTCACAAGTGTTCAGGTACTCAGATTTTGTCCCAGAATTAAAAACTGAGATGAACTTAATGATGAATCATAGCTTTAGAGCTGGGAGGGACCTCAGAGACCATCTAATCCAGACCTCTCACTTTATAGATGATAAAACTGAGACCTAGAGAGATTAAATGACTTACATACAGTCACACAGGTAGTAAGCACCAAGCATTTGAACGTAGGTCCTCAGACTCTGGTGGTGCTTTTCCTACTTTACCACTCACAGGCGCTGCCTTCCAAGCCAAGAGGGCTCAAAGTATGGCCCCAATGAGATCTGTATACCATCTAAGGGCCAGTCTAGATAAGTGTGGAGAAGCTGATTGTTAGAGCATTGTTTGCCAAGTGAATTTTTTTCAGGTATAGCAATTATTATGCTGGTCAGCTAAGACATATAGCATGAATGAATGGCCCTCATCAGTGGAAGAAACCAATGGATTCACATCAGTGGATCCTTTGAAGTATTAAAATATGAAAAACACATGTCTGTTTATTTGTCATTGCCTGTCTCTAGATATGTCTATGAGTATCTGGCTCTGAGTATGTGTAAGTCAGTGAGAAGGGCTTCCTCCAGGTAGGAATGTCTTTGTATCTACATGACTGCACGCACACATATTTATATATATATGTATATGTATATATACACATATGTGTATATATACATATCCACATACACATATACATACACACATATTGTCCTTCCAAAGCATCCAAGGCCTTACACTCTCAAAAGGATGGGTAATTAGAATGTTCCTATTTAGATGGCCATAAACTCTGGGTTATAGCATCTAGGGTTGGCCCTCTGGATGTCCAGGAAGAGTTAGGAAGGATGGTCTTTGCGCAGTTGCTGTAAATCTATTTCTCACTTCCACCTCCTTCACAGAGTTTCAGCCACATGCTGGATCTTGCCTCCGGCCAAGGATAGCATTACCCTTTTTTTCCTCTCATCTTTGACATCTTCACTTAGACATGGCTTGTAGAATTTTTTTTTAACTGCAGCTAAGTGGCGCAGTGGATACAGCGCCAGGCCTGAAGTCAGGAAGACTCGTCTTATTGAGTTCAAATCCCTCAGGTCACTTACTAGCTGTGTGCCCCTGGGCAAGTTGAACTTCCAAAAACTAAATGAATAGTTAATATGTGACAATTCAATTGAGCAAGCATTTATTAAATACCCACTATGTGATGTGCCGGGCACATAGCTAAGTGCTATGGATACAAAATCAAAAACAATCCCTGCCCTGAAGGAATTTGGGTTCTCCTGAGAGGAACCAAGCATGTACAGATAATTAGAAACAAAATACATACACAGCTAAATACATACAAGATGACGAAAGAGGAAAGCAACAAATGTTGGAGGGGCTATGGGGAAACAAATAATGCACTATTGGTGGGGCTGTGCATTGGTCCAGCCATTCTGGAAAGCAATTTGAACAATGCCCAGAAAGTTACCAAGCTGTGCACACCCTTTAACTCAGTTGTAGCACTATTAGGCCTATACCCCAATGAGATCAAAGAAAGAGGAAAAACACCTATATGTACAAAAATATTTATCATTAGTTCTTTTCCAATCTGTCCTCCATTTAGCCACTAAATTGTTTTTCCTAAAGTGCAAGTTATTTTATTGAGTTATTACTCAATAAATTGCACTGACCTACTATTGCCTCCAGGATCAAAAATAAAATGCTCTATTTGTCATTCAAAGCCCCCTGGAGTCCCCTCCTACCTTTCCTCATCTTCTTATACCTTATTCCCCAGTACTTACTCTTTTTTTTTTTAAGGCAGTTGGGGTTAAGTGACTTGCCCAGGGTGGGTCGCACAGCTAGTAAGTGTCAAGTGTTTGGTCTGAGGCTGGATTTGAAGTCAGGTCCTCCTGACTTCAGAACTGGTGCTCTATCCACTGCGCCACCTAGCTGCCCCACCCCAATACATACTCTTAATCCAGTGAACTGGCCTGCTGGCTGTTCCATGAACAAGATTCTCCATCTCTTGGCCTGGGCTTTTTCTCTGACTTTCCCCCATGCATTTCATGTCTATCTACTGACTCCTCCAACTTCCCTTAAGTCTCAACTAAAATCCCATCTTTTACTGAAAGCCTTCCACAACCCCTCTTAATTCTAGTGCCTTCCCTCTGTTATTTCCTTTTTGTCCTGTATATAACTTGTTCAGTATATAGTTGTTTGTATGTTGTCTTCCCCATTAGAATGCAAGTGTCTTGAGGGCAGGGACTGTCTTTTACCTCTTTTTTGTATCTCAAGCACTTAATTCAGTACCTGGTACATAGGTACTTAATAAGTGTTTATTAATTGATTGATTTTCATGGTAGCCAAAAATTGGAAAAGAGGGGTCTGTCCTCCTCTTGGGGAATGTTTAAAAAAATTGTGATATAGCACATGAAATTGTGCCAAAAGAAATGATGAAATCAGCAATTTGAGAGAAAACTGGAAATGACCTCTGTGAACTGATGTTGAATAAAGTGAGTAGAACCAGGAGAGCAACATTATGAAAACAACTTTGAGAGACTTTAGAACTCTGGTCAATGCAATAGTAAACTACAAGTCAAAAAAAATGAAGATGAAACATGCCATTTGCTTCCTGACAGAGAGGTGATAACCTTTAAGTTACAGAAAGGGACATACATTTTTGACCTTGGGTAATTTAAGAATTTATTTTGCTGAATTATGTAATATGTATAAAGGGTTTTTTTTTTTTTAATTGCTCAATGGCTGGGTAGTGGGAGGGACAGATTCG